AGTGGTTACTATAATATCCCTGTACTCAAACCTCAAAACCAAACCCGTCATGCTTGTATATATGTGCAAGTATATCTTTAGGTTAAATTCCTAGAAGGGCATTGTTAGATTAAAGTTATTTTTTGATTACTGCAAGTATACAGTGAATTTCTAGGTAAAACAATGTTTTTAGTTCACTTGTGTGTTTAATCAACATAAAATAAACCAATTTTGAAGGAATCCTTCTTAATTCTCAGTGAATAACTGATTTCTTTACCTTAATATCTTAATTTAAAGCTTGAATTAAAGGTATCCAATAGCACAGTAAGTTTTTTTATGTCTTTTTTTAAATTGTGCTTTAAGTGAAAGTTTACAATTCAAGTTAGTGTCTCATGCAAAAATTTATATACACATTGTTTTGTGATCCTAGTTGCTCTCCCTGTACTGTGACAGCACACTCCTCCTTTCCACCCCAGATTTCCCGTGTCCATTCAACCAGCTCCTGACCTTCTCTGCCTTCTCGTCTCACCTCCAGACAGGAGCTGCCCATTTAGTCTCATGTATCCACTTGAGCTAAGCAGCACACTTTTCATGACTATCATGTCCCACAGTCCAGTCTAAACTTTGTCTGAAGAGTTGGCCTCGGAAATGGTTTTAGTTTTGGGCTAACAGAGAGTCCGGAGGCCATGTCTTAAAGGGTCCCTCCAGTCTCAGTCAAACCATTAAGTTTGGTCTTTTCACTAGAATTTGAGTTCTGCACTCCACCTTTCTCCTGCTCCATCAGGGACTGTCTGTTGTGTTCGCTGTCAGGGTGGTCATTGGTGGTAGCCGGGCATCATCTAATTCTTCTGGTCTCCGGCTGATGGAGTCTCTGGTTATTGTGGCCCTTTCTGTCTCTTGGGCTATTATTTTCCTTGTGTCTTTGGTGTTCTTCATTCTTCTTTGCTCCAGGTGGGTTGGAACAATTGATGCATCTTAGATGGCTGCTCACTAGCTTTTTAGACCCCAGGCACCACCATTTTCTTAATAAATTTTGTTATGCCAGTTGACAGATGTCCCCAGAAACCATGGCCCCCAGACCCACACCCCTGCAACTCTGTCCCTCGAAGTGTTTGGTTGTATTCAGGAAACTTCTTAGCTTTTTGTTTAGTCCAGTTGTGCTGACTTCCCCGGTAGTGCATGTTGTCCTTCCCTTCACCTAAGATAATTCTTGTCTACTATCTAGTTAGTTAATACCCTCTCCCTCTCTCCCCACCCTCACAACCATCAAAGAATGTTTTCTTCCATGTTAAAGCCTTTTTTTGAGTTCTTATAATAGTGTTCTTAAACAATATTTGTCCTTTTGCAGCTGACTAAATTCATTCAGCATAATGCCTTCCCCCTTGATCATGGTGAATTATTTTTTTGATATGTTGTTGAATTCTACTGGCTAGAATTTTGTTGAGGATTTTTGCATCAATATTCATGAGGGATATTGATGTGTAATTTTCTTTTTTTTTTGTGGTGTCTTTACCTGGTTTTGGTATCAAGTTTATGCTGGCTTCACAGAATGAGTTTGGGAGTATTCCATCCTTTTTTGTGCTCTGAAATACCTTTAGTAATAGTGGCGTTAACTCTTCTCTGAAAGTTTGGTAGAATTCTCCAGTGAAACCATCAGGGCCAGGGCTTTTTATTGTTGGGAGTTTTTTTAATTACCTTTTCAATCTCTACTTTTGTTATAGGTTTATTTAGTTGTTCTACCTCTGTTTGTGTTAGTTCAGGTAGGTAGTGAGTTTCTAGAAATTTGTCCATGTCCTCTAGGTTTTCAAATTTGTTAAGAGTACAATTTTTCATAGTATTCTGTTATGATTCTTTTAATTTCAGTTTAGTCTGTTGTGATATCGCCCATCTCATTTCTTATATGGGTTATTTGCTTCCTCTCGTGTTTTTCTTTTGTTGGTTTGGCCAGTGGTTTATTGATTTTGTTGATCTTTTCAAAGAAGTGCTTTTGGTCTTGTTAACTCTTTCAATGGCTTTTCTATTCTCTATTTCATTTAATTCTGCTCTAATTCTTATTATTTCCTTTCTTCTTGGGCTCAAGGACTTCTTTTGTGCTCTATTTCCACTTGTTCAAGTTGTAGGGTTAATGTTTTGATTTTGGCCTTCTCTTCTCTTTGGATGTGTGCATTTATTGCTATAAATTGACCACTGAGCACTGGTTTTGCTGTGTCCCAAAGGTTCTGATAGGATGTGTTTTTAATCTCATTTGATTCTGTGAATTTCTTTATTCTATCCTTAATTTCTTCTGTAATCCAGTAGATTTTGAGTAAGCTGTTGTTCAGTTTCCATGTGTTTGATTTTTTTTCTTGCTTTTTCTGTCACTGATTTCTACTTTTATGGCTTTATGGTCAGAAAAGATGCTTTGTAATATTTCAATGTTTTCAATTCTGTTAAAGCTTACTTTATGGCCTAATATGTGTTTTATTCTGGAGAATGTTTCATGTGTGTTAGAAAAGAAAGTATATGTGGCTGCTCTTGGGTGGAATGTTTGGTATATGTCTATGAGATCAAGTTGGTTGATTGTGGCATTTAGATCTTCCATGTCTTTATTGAGATTCTTTCTGGATGTTCTGTCCTTCACCAAAAGTGGTGTGTTGAAGTCTCCTACTATTATTGTGGAGCTGTCTGTCTCTCTTTTGAATGGTGTTAGAGCTTGTTTTATGTCTTTGGAGTCTTGTCATTGGATGCGTAAATATTTACTATGGTTATGTCCTCCCGGTGTATTGACCCTGTACTCATTATATTGTGTCCTTCCTTATTCTTTGTGGTGAATTTTACTTTAAAGTCTATTTTGTCAGAGATTAATATTGCCACTCCTACTCTTTTTTGAGTGTTGTTTACTTGATATATTTTTTTCCATCCTTTGAGTTTCAGTTTGTTTGTGTCTTTAAGTCTAAGGTGTGTCTCTTGTAGGCAGCATATAGACAGATCGTGTTTTTTATCCATTCTGCCACTCTCTGTCTCTTTATTTATGCATTTACATTCAGAGTAATTATTGATAGGTATGAGTTTAGTGCTGTCATTTTGATGTCTTTTTTGTGTGTTGTTGACAGATTTTTTGTTCCACGTAATTTTCTGTGCTGAGAAAATACATAATTTTCTTTTCATCTTTTTCATTGCTGTTGATTTTGTATTTGCTGAGTCTTTATGTTTTCCTTGTTTTTTATTTTAATGTGTAGGGTTGTTAGTTTCCTTTGGGGTTACCTTAATGTTTACCACTATTTTTCTAAGTTTAAACCAGTCTTTTATTTCTTTACATCACCTTGACTTCCTCTCCATATGTAAGAACTGTGGCTACATTTTTTAGTCCCTCTTTTTTGTTTTAATGTTTTCGTGCTTTACCTATTGACGTCTCTGTTTCCCTATTTTCAGTGTTTTAGCTTTGATTTATTTTTGTGACTTCCCTATCTAGGTTGATATCTAGTTGCTCCCTCCTGCATTTTAGTTTTGGGTTGTTATCTGATGTGACTGATTTTCTAAGCGGAGGACTCCCTTTAGTATTTCTGTAATTTTGGTTTGGTTTTTGCAAATTCCCTAAACTTCTGTTTATCTGGAAATGCCCTAATTTTGCCATCATATTTGAGAGACAGTTTTGCTAGATACATAATTCTTGACTGACAATTTTTTTCCTTCAAGGCTTTATATATGTCATCCCATTGCCTCCTTGCCTGTATGGTTTCTAATGAGTAGTCTGAGCTTAGTCTTACTGACTCTTCTTTGTAGATGACTTTTCATTTATCCCTAGCCACTCTTAAAATTCTCTATCTTTGATTTTGGCAAGTTTGTTTGTAATATATTTTGATGACTTTCTTTTGGGATCTACCTTATGTGGGGTTCGATGAGCATCTTGGACAGATATCTTCTCCTCTTTCATGATATCAGGGAAGTTTTCTGCCAACAAATCTTCAACAATTTTCTCTGTCTTTTCTGTTATCCTCCCCCACTTCTTGTACTCCAGTCACTCGTAGGTTATTCCTTTGGATAGAGTCCCACATAATTCTTAGGGTTTCCTCATTTTTAAAAAATCTTTCATCTGATTTTTCCTCAAATAAGTTGGTGTCAAGTGCTTTATCTTCAATCTCACTAATTCTGACTTGCATTACCTCAATTCTGCTCTTATGACTTTCTATTAAGTTGTCTCATTTTCAGATTTTATTGTTAATCCTCTGGATTTCTGATTACTATCTCTCTGTGGATTCTTCCAGCCTGTTAAATGTGTCATTATGCTCTTCTCTAATCTTCTTAAGTTCCTCTATTGCTTTGTGTGTATGTTCCTTATATTGTTCTTCATTTTACATGATCTCCTTCCTGATCTCTTGAAGAGTTCTGTATATTAATCTTTTGTATTCTACCTCTGGTAACTCCAAGAAATTCTCTTCCTCTGGAAAATTTCTTGATTCTTTGTTTTGGAAACTTGCTGAAGCCATCATGGTCTGCCTTTTTATGTGATTTGATATTGACTGTTGTCTCCTAGCCATCAATAAGTTATTATATTTATTTATTTTATGTTTGCTTACTGTGTCCTAGCATCTTGTTTTGTTTTGATATGCCCAAATAGGTTGCTCCTGTGAGCTAGTTTGACTATTGGCACCTTTGAAGCTCTTATGTCCTGTCACCAGGTAGTTAGATTTGTTACTAGGTATGTAAGCCCAGGAGTCTCTTTACTTTTCTTGTATGGATTCATCTCAAGTGTCCAGGTAGTCAGTCACCAAGTGTGTGGTGCAGGCTCTCACCTACAGTCTTAGAGAGGCATGGGTGATTGGTGTAGGCACAGGTATTTGGCTGCAGTAGAGGGTCATGTGCTGAGTAAGTCAGGGGACTGACTGTTGCCCCTGAGTGTCTGGGAGGAAAACATGTCCCTGTTCCCTACAGAGCATAGTTGAGTGAGTTTTGCAGCTGGACCATGGGCACCCAATGCTGTTGGCTGTAAGGACTGGGAGGCACCACCCATTCTTAGATCGCTGTCAAGGTAGCTACGTGGCATGTGTGGAGCCAGTAGTCCTCAGGCCCCTGATGTGGGTAGGTGAGGACCCTGCTTAATGGGCAGAGCAGTGTGAAATGTCACGAACCTCCCACCATATAGCTGGTACAGTTGAATTTAGGCCTCTGGTATATACCCTGTTTTACTGTGATAATGAGGGCTTATGCTGTTGAAATGGGCCCATGGAGGTCTATGCAAGGATGAAAGACATTCAAAGTCCATGGACCCCTTATGCCCGTGCCTAGGTGAAAGAGCTGTGCCTACTCTGATTTCCTGGCTTAGGGGAGCTGTCAAATTATTTTTTCCTGTTTGTTAATTTGTTTCCTCTCCAAGGCCAGGAGAATGGCTCAGGGCAAGTGACCCGTCCTACTTCTGGCCCAGGGGAGTTGGCAGCTGCTGAAGCTGGCCCAAGACCTGGTGCAGAATGGGGAGTGTGCAGGTAAATGGGAGAGAGGTTTTTCCCAAAGGGGGTGTTTTTTGATCCACGTGGTAGGTCAGACACATGTATTTATTTTTTGCCAATTGAGCGTCTCTTTTCACTGGTTATGGAGGCTAGAGTAGACTCTCTGCCGCTTGGTGTCTCCCGATGTGGAAAACGCCTCCTGAGGGCCACTGCTTGCCTCACCAAGCATGCAAGCCTATCCAGCCTGAAGGGAGCTGCTCCTGCTGGGTCAGGTCTGGAAAGTCCTTGCTGCTTCTGAACCATCTCTGCCTCCCCCTGCCACTCAGTATGATTCCTTAATTTTGCCTTTGATCTACAAGACTCTTAGATTGTCATATATAATCAATTCACTTGTTTATTCAGGTCTTTGTTGTAAGAGGGACCACAGGAAAAGTCTGATTACTCTGTCATCTTGGCCTCACCTCTAGCAACCTAGTGCTGGCAGTGCTGTGGGTGAATATCTTAGAACTCTTAACCACAGAACTCTATGGCATCAGTAATAAACAGTAGTGTTATGAAGTTAGGAAGTTGGTATTTCTTATATACTCATATCTATCTCCTGCAATAACTAGCCAAAAAACATTTGTTATGAAGTTGGTATTATTAGAATATGTAGGACTCTTGAGAGAAAGAAAAAACCAAACCCATTGCCGTCAAGTCGATTCTGACTCGTCGTGACCCTATAGGACAGAGTAGAACTGCCCCATAGGGTTTCCAAGGAGCAGCTGGTGATTTGAAGCTGCCAACGTTTTGGTTAGCAGCTGTAGCTCGTCATAGCTCTTAACCACTGCACCACTAAGGCTCTGGGGAAGGCTACCTTAATATTCTGACTCAGTCTTATAATGTCTGGTCCCTGCCTTCCTTTCCACTCTCATCTCCTGTCATTTTCCCTTCTGCCCACCTGCTTTCTTTCTAATCTTCTCATAAGTCAACCTTGATCCCACTTCAAGGCCTTTGCACCTGCTCTTCCCTTTGCCTGGAATGCTCTTCCCACATGTCTTTCCATGGCTGGCTCTTTTCATTCTGCTCTCAGCTCAAATGTCACTTCTTCAGAGAAGTCCCCTCAATCCCCTTCCAGCTGAAGCAACCAGCTCAGTCACTTGCTTTCACGTCACCTGATTTTTACTCTCTGCTTAAAAGTACCCAACACCATCTAACATTTTTCTTGTTTGTGTGTTTGTTTAGTGTCTATTTCTCTCGTTAGGCTGTGAGCTCTACAATTAGTAGCCCAGCAACTAGGAAATTGCCTGGCACTACGTCCAGCCTCAGTAAATATTTGTGGACTAAAACAAGACGTTTAATTGATTGTCTATGACTTATATGTGTCTTAGCAACCCTTACTCTCCCTCGTCTTCCAGGGACAGTACTTCAGGTCTGCACAACTCCAGAGGGCACCATTCACAATGTGAGTCATTGAGGAGAGGACAGTGTTCTGCAGTGCACAATCTCTCAAATCTTAGTAGTGGCTTTGTCTTTCGCTAGTCATTAATCCATTCATATAAATATAATGTTTTTTGAGCATCTACTACATGCAAAGGTGGTGGTGTAGACACAGTGGGGATGAGACAAACGTGTCACTGCCTGTGTGGCAAATATTAACCTGGCAAACACAGATGAAACTAGAATAGATAAATGTGTTATAAATCAACATATAATTGCAGGTTACAAATTAATTTCTGTTTCTTCTCTATCCTTGTTCTCACCTGCTCTTTTCTCTCTCCCATCTCTTTCTTATATACTCATATCTATCTCCTGCAATAACTAGCCAAAAAACAAACAAAAACCGAAACTGAATGCTGTCAATTTGATTCCAACTCATGGCAACCTCTTGGGACAGAGTAGAACAGCTTCACAGGGTTTTCTGGCTGAAATCTGGCAGATTGCCGGGCTTTCTTCTGTGGCATCCCTCAGTGGGTTTGAGCCACCACCCTTTAGGTTAATAAATGAGCGCAAATCACTTGCACCACCCAGGGACCTTGGTGTCACTAGCGGATACCCTTTATTCTTTCCTGTCTTCCTTTCACCCATCGATGTGCTGGCAGTGGCTCAATAGGCTTACAGAACTCAATTGTTAAATATTTACGAATTTTGTGAGCTGTTTGTTAAATTGTAGTTAGCTTAAAGTCAGACGTGGTAGGAGTATTTACACTACAGAAATAGGCCAAGACTACAAAGCAAGATTTGTTGTTGTTTTTCTGAGAAGCTGGCTTTCTAGCATGCCATCGCTCTCACCTCTCAGTTTCTGGGAAGGACACTTTGCTTTGTCAAGGAACACCCCACCCTAGTTCTTCAATGTCTAGTCACTCTCCAAGGAACACCCTAATTCTTCAATGGCTAGTCAGTCTCCAAGGAACACCCTAGTTCTTCAGTGGCTATTCAGTCTCTACTACCCTCCTCTCCCCATGGCATACCCCAACTCCTTCCAGAGTGGTAGAGAAGTGGTGACCCTATGGCCTATGTTGTGCTGTGAGGGGAGAGAGCAGAAGAAGAGAAAGTGTGAGAGAAAGGCTCGAAAAGAGGAATAAAAGGGAAAGCAGTACAGGAAAGAAAGAGAAAGAAAAGGGAAGGAGGAAGTCAATGGGGACAGAGATTGGGACAGAGAGAATATAGGTATCAGCCAATGCCACCACATGATTTCCTCACAGGCAATCAGGCGTTTCCCCACCTGGGGCCAGAATGTGACCAGGGTTCCATGAGAGCTGAGGAAACCACCTTCCTAAACTACCCTGAAACAGGGCAGAGGTGGGGACCCACGTATGTGGGTTGAGTAGGACAGGGGACTGGGGATGTAGACTGGTATGGCCCGGGGCCAGGATGCCTCAGTTTCTAATTATTATTGAGTATGGGGGACCAGATTTCTGGGTCTAGGGAGGAAGAAGCTAGGAGTCTGAATTTCCAGATTTCTGAGTCTTAGAAGGAGGCTTCTGGACTCCTAGGTCTGAGGAAGGAGTGGGCTGGGAACCTGGACTCCTGTGTCTGAGGGAGGCAAAGAGGCCCCAGATTCTAAGCCTTTCAAGCAGTTGCAGACTCAGAGGGAGGGGCTAGGACTTTGTTTAGCAAGGCCTGCACTTAGTTATCCCTTTCCTGGACTGCCTTTGATATGATATGTTATAAAAGAACTGTGATTTCCCAAGAGAAAGAGCAGGTGCCAGCATTCTAGCTGCAGATTGGCCATGAGTCCAGTCACCCTACTGGCCCTCCTGGGGGTCACCCTCACCCTGTCCCATGAGTGAGGACCCACTCCCAGAGGCCGGTAGCTAGAGGATCTCCCTCAGAAAGGAGTAGAGGAGCCCTGCTAAGATGGATTTGATTCTCCCATTCCAGGAATCCAGGCCCTGACCTGCCAGAAGGGGACACTGAACTCTGTGTATAATGCAACTGAACTTCCCCTCCGGTGGACTACTGGCCAGGAAGACTGTGAGGAAGGCTGGGGTTGCCAAGACACACTGATGCTCATTCATAATGGTGAGAAGGCCCAAGGGCCACAGTCCTCAGCCCTCCAGGCCAACACCCCTGCCCAGCCCTGCAGGCATCTGTGTAGGAACTCAGGAGACCCCTTCTCCATCACCAGAGCTGCTTCCCCTCCCCAGCAGGAGCAACTGGGAGCGAGGGAGTAGGGAATGCCCAGTCACCTTCTCTGGAGCCTCTCTCCCCTATGCCAGGACCCTGGAGTCCTGATCCATGCCCGCCTGTCAGCCTCCTTTCTCCTGCCTAGGACCCCAGGTGAATGTAGTGATCACCAAGGGTTGCACTCAGGCTGAAGACCAAGAGGCCCGTGTCACGGAGCACAGGGCCGGCCCGGGCCTCTCCATCATCTCCTACACCCATGTGTGCAGGAAGGCAAACTTGTGCAATGACCTGGCCAACAGTGTGCCCCTCTGGACCCCATCCTCCACAGGTAAGGGAGGCAGGAAGCAGAGGAGGGAAAATGGGCTGTAGGGCAAAAGGGAGCAACAGGGCTGAGGGAGTGGAGATGAGTGTAGAGGGGCTGCTTATTTAGAATCATTGCCTCCAAACCCTCCCCTACTAACCACTTCACCACTAGCTCCCACCCCCCATGGTCTCTCCCCTGTGCCTGGCTCTCTCCCCATTTTCCCTTTTTCACTCACTTCTCCCCCACTGGCTCCCCACTCCATCTGCTTGCCCACTGTATTGCTCACTCAGCAGCTCCCTTGCTCACCTGCTCATGGCTCCCTCCATCTCTCCCTTGATTGCTCCTGGCTTGTTCACTCACTCCCTGGCTTTCACCTGCCCTACTCATGCACCCCCAGGACTCCTCTAGCCCAGCTTCTTCTAAGGGCCCCAAAGCAGTAAAGTGTCTTGCTTCTCTGATGTGAAACTGACCTCAGACTGGCTGTGATGTAAGCTGGGCATTTTGCATGCTCCTTTTTTCTGTACTGCTAGGTTGGGCCCACTAATACTTTATTTTTTTTTAAATTTTTTTATTTTTTGCATTTTGTTCTTCCTAAGTGAGCCTAGCCTATAACTTTCCCCCACCATTCTTGTCTGGTATTGCTATGGACAGTACGTGAGCTTTATGAATCGCATTTGGAGGGCTGTGTTCTGCAGTTTTTCTACTTTTTGGAATATTTTGTGAATGTCTTGTCTTCTTTGACCATTTAGTAGAACTTGCAGGCCATGCACTTGTTCCTTCCAGGGCACCTGTTCCCTGCCCTGACCAATGTGTCTGTGTGAGGTCTCAGAAGCCCCCTCCTCTGCCCTGTTCACTCCCACCACACCCAGATGTGGGACCCCAGCACCACCCCTGCCCTGACAATCCTGCCTGTGTCTGACCCCAGAAGGCCTCTCCTGTGCCCTGCACACCCCCATCACACCCTATCTGGGACCTCAGTGCCACCTCTCTGCCTTGACCTCCTCTGCATTCAGGCCCCAAGTTCTCCCCAGATCTCTTTTTCCCTCTCTCCCTTGCTCTCTCATTAACCATGCATCTTTAGTTTTCCACACTCTGGGCCTGTGTGAGAGAAAAGGAGGGGGGATGTTCCTGGAGATTCAGGAGGTCTACTTTGGGTCCGGCAAAAGAGTGGTGGAGAGAAGGCATCTGACCCAAACTGAGATCCCCCTCAGTCCCCCTCACACTCTCACCTCCTCAGCTGCACCAGCCCCAGAAGGCACGCAGTGCCCCACCTGCTTGTCAAGAGATGAATGCAAAGAAAGCGGGACTGAGCTCCCCTGCCCAGCAGGGCTCAGGCATTGCTACAATGGCATCCTCCTGCTCAACGGAGGTATGTTGCTGGAGACATTGGGGTCCCTGAGGGTGCAGGTCCCCAGTGGGGAGATCTGAAGTCTAAGTTGTGAGTCTCTGGGGGAGGAAGGGTAAACCAAAGCATGGGTCCCAGAAGGAGGGTGGGACTGACTTCCTGGAGCTTAGCTTCCCTCTGAGGTTTGAATGGTCCTAACTTCAATGTCTGACTCTTCCTCTCTCCCTCTCTTCCCCTTTCCACAGGAGGGATCTCCACCAGTCTGAGAGTGCAAGGGTGCATGGCCCAAGGAGGCTGCAACCTGCTTAATGGGACCCAGGAAATCGGGCCCATAAGGGTGAGAGAGAAGTGCAATCCTAAGGGTGAGTCTTACACCCAGGAGAAGAGGCCCTGCCCTGTGCTGCAGCCTTGGGGTGTGACGCTGTTGTTGTCGTTTGCCATCTAGTCGATCCTGACTGATAGCAACTCCACGTGACAGAGTAGAACTGCCCCATAGGGTTTTCTAGGCTGTAACCTTTACGGGAGAAGATCACCAGGTCTTTCTCCTGCAGATCTGCTGGATGGGTTTGGACTGCCAACCTTTTGGTTAGCAGCTGAGCACTTGACCGTTTGCTCCACCAGCGCGTCCTTTGTTAAAGTAGGGGACATTCAAACCCATCACATGAAAGCCAGCAACTACAATACTTTAGAAGTTTATCATTGACCCCAACAAAAAAACCAAACCGCTTGCCATCGAGTCAATTCCAACTCATAGTGTAGTGACCCTATAGGACAGAGTAGAACTGCCCCACAGGGTTTCCAAGGAACGGCTGGTGGATTCGAACTGCCGACCTTGTGGTTAACGCCATAGCTCTTATAGAGTAACAGAATTATTTAAAATATGTCAGTAAAGGTTTAAACTCAGCCTGTTTGGGTTGTTCAAACCGCACACATTAAAGGTTTGGCCCTTGACCAGCTCCTGGGAGGTAACCTCAAAGTCTTTGGAATATGCTGCCTGATAAGAGTATCTCTGTTTACTTGGGGACCTTGGACCATGCCAAACAGTGTATGCTAATATGTGATTTATAGTGGGGGCCTTGGGTCACCAGTATCAACTTGACCTCTGGAGGAGCTGGAGATTACAACTAGCCATACAGACGGTCAGTCATGCTTACGTGACTGACTCCCAATAAAAACCCTGGTCACCAGGCTTAGGTGAGTTTCCCTCGTTGGCAGTACTCCGTGTGAATTGTCACACATTGCTACTGGGAGAATTGAGAGTCGATTCTCACTCATAGTCAGCCTATAAGACAGAGTAGAACTGCCCCATAGGATTTCCTAGGCTGTAATTAGGCTGTAATCTTTATGGGAAGGAGGCTTATGTAGTGCAGTGGTTAAGCACTTGGCTGTTAACCGAAAAATTGGTGGTTAGGACGCATCCGCCATTCTGGGGGAGAAAATATGGCAGTCTGCTTCTGTAAAGAATACCTTCTTGGGAAACCCTATGAGCAGTTCTACAGTGTCTTATAGGGTGACCGGGGACATGAAAGCTCTGCTCCAGGACCCCTCCTGGACTTCTCCCTATGGGTCCCTTCATTTGTATCCTTTCTGGTTACAATAAATTGATAGTAAGTATAGATACTCTCTGTGAATTCTGTGGGTCCTTCCAGGGAAGTATTGAACCCATAGGAGCAGTGAGACCTAGTAGGGGCTGGCGTCTGCCTATCTGGCAGTCTGAAGGACGGTGTCCCTTTAACTTGTATGCTCTGATCTACCCCAGGGTGGCTAAAGATGAGAGAGAAAAGGGGCCAGCTGGTCTGAAGTGGAGGGAATCATGTGGACTCCAGACTTTGCATCTGGTGTCTGCTGACCTAGCCCCAGCGGCTGGGTGGCTGGGGGTGAGAGAGATGGGGCTAGAGCTAGGGTTAGTGTTAGTGGTAGGCTAGGGCTAGGGCTAGGGTTAGGGTTAGGGCTAGTGTGTGTCTAGGGCTATGTTTAGGAGTAGGACTAGGGCTAGGGACAAGGTTAGGGTTAAGGTTAGTGTTCATACTAGGGGTAGTTTTAGGGTTATGTTTAGGGATAGGGTTATGGCTAGGACTATGGATATAGCTAGGGTGGCTATGGGGACGAAGAAGTGGGAAGGTGAGGACTGGTTGTATTTCCAGGTGGGAATCAGATTCATGCTGATCCTTAACTCAGTCAGCAATGAAGGTGGTATTTGTCCACTGTATCTCTTATTTAGTGCAAAGTCCTGAAACCCAAATGTGAGTCAGTTTTCCATAGGAATAATTTTTCTTTTTGGCGAAAACTGAGTGCTTGGCAGATGAGGAGGTTGGAAATGAATCATTCAGGAGCTCTTGAGCATCTTCAGTGTGCTGTGGAGTAGTGGGAAAGAGGGCAGGTGTTTTTGAAAGCCTGGGTTCCTGTCTGCTCCTACCATTTCCTGACTTGGTGAGCCAAGCTTTCTCTTCCCCTTTCTTGGGCTTAGTTTCCAGCTCCATGAAGTGGATTAATGGTATCAGCTCTGAGGGATGAACCTCTGGGTGGAAGAGTTTTTCATAATGTGCAGAGATGAGGTGGAGGCTCTGGACGAACGTGTCGTGTTTTTTTTTGCTAAAGGAGGGTCTTCTGGAAGTAGTGTGGGCACAGTGTGTGCAAGGAACAGAAGGATGTGAGTGGGTGGTGAAGACGATGTTCATTGCCTCAAAGCTTCACTCCACAGATTGCACATTAGTTGACAGAGAATGCAACATATTGACATTACAGGCTTTCTAATGTGATTCACTGGGAAAGACACAATGTTACCCATGCAGACGATTGCCAAAAATAATTAAAATGACTGGAGTCATGAACAGTCAGAGAAACCCAGGTTGTAGAACATTCCACAAAAACAAGTGGAATGTTTCTTTCAATGATATTAATAAAAAAAAAAAGCTGGGGAATACTTCTAGATTAAAGGACACTACAATGAGGTGATGCAAACAGTTAAGGGGCTCAGCTGCTAACCAAAAGATTCTAAGTTCTAGTCCATCCACAGGTACCTTGGAAGAAAGGCCTGGTGATCTACTTCTGAAAAATTAACTGTTGAAAACTATGGAGTACAGTTCTACTCTGACATCCATGGGGTTGCCATGAGTCAGAATCAGCTCGACGACAATAGCTTTTTGTTTTTTCAGTGTGAGCGGTGCTTGATCCCAGATTGTCTCCCTGATTAGAAATTAAAAAAATGCTGTAAAGGACATTATTGGGACAATTGAGGAAAATTGAAAATGGACTATATAGTAGACAGTATAGTATCAATGTGAAAATACTTGGGTTTGAGGATGGTCTTGTGGTTATGCAGGACAGTCTTTACTCTTAAGGAGGTACTTGCTGAAGCACTTAGTAGTAACATAATGGCTTCAACTTATTTAAAACAATTTAAATCTAAAAATAGTTTCAAATTATGTGCATATGTGTATGTGAACAAATATGGCGAAATGTTAACAACTGGTATATCCCAGGTCAAGGTATATGAGTATTCTCTGAACTTTTTTGGGGACAGAATCTATTGCTGTTTTTCTGTATGCTTAAAAAATTTCAGAATAAGAGCAGTACCCAAACCCATGGCCACTGAGTTGATTCTGACTCATAGCGACCCTTCAGGACAGAGCAGAACTGCCCCATAGGGTTTCCAAGGACAGGCTGGTGGATTCTAACTGCCAACCTTTTGGTTAGCAGCTGAGCTCTTAACCACTGCTCCTCCAGGGACATTAGGTAATGAAAAGAAATAGAGAGCCCTTGGATTGCCTTGAGAAGAGGTGGGATTAGAAGTTCTGGACCCTCCGCAGCCCTCCTGCTATGGACCAGGCTCTGTGTAGGGCCACACTTGGGACTTAAGAGATCGGTCAGACCCAGGTCCTGCCCTTGAGCAGCCCCCAGGCTGGTGGGGAAGCAAGTGAGTCACAGATAGTCATAGGCCAGGGTGATCAGGGCAGTGACAGAGGGAGGGGCTAGAGCTGGGGAAACCCAGATGGGAAACGCTTGTTCCTCAGATCATTCAGGAAGTCTCAGGGGAAAAAATATGTTAGCTGGAGACAAAGAGATGGAGGTAGCCCCGTCCGGATGTTAAACTCTGGCTTTGTCCTCCATGTAGGTAAATATCTGGAGCAAGTTCTGGCATAACCCAGGGTTCTCATACCTGGTGAACACACTGGCTGACCAGGAAGGAGAAAGCAGAATGAGTCTGCCAAACTGTGGATTTAGGGACTCAGAACTGATTCCAGCTTGGCCACACGCTGACTCAGAGGCCCTGGGCAAACCGCTTTTCCTTTTCTCAGTTTCTGTATTCCTTTCTATAAGATGAGGAAGAAATTTTTGCAATTGTTGCACCTAATAGCAAAAAAGGAGTCCCTGGGTGGTGCAAACAGTTAAGTGCCCAACTACTAATCGAAAGACTGGTAGTTCAAACCCACCCAGAGGCACTTCGGAAGAAAGGCTTGCTGAACTCCTCCCTACAGGTATGGAGCACAGTTCTACTCTGATACACATGAAGTTGCCATGAGGCAGAACTGACTCCACAGCAACTTTTTTTTTAAAATTGTGCTTTAAGTGAAACTTTACAATTCAAGTCAGTGTCTCATACTGAAATTTCTACACACATTGTTATGTGACCCTAGTTGCTCTCCCTATAGTGTGACAGCACACTCCTCCTTTCCACCCTGGATTTCCCGTGTCCGTTCAACCAGCTCCTGACCCTCTCTGCCTTCTCTTCTTGCCTCTGGACAGGAGCTGCCCATTTAGTCTCATGTATCTACTTGAGCTAAGAAGCACACTCTTCACTAGTATCATTTTATGTCCCATAGTCCAGTCTAATCTTTGTCTGAAGAGTTGGCTTCAGGAATGATTTCAATTTTGGGCTAACAGAGAGTCCAAGGGCCATGTCTTACAGGGTCCCTCCGGTCTTAGTAAAACCATTAATTCTGGTCTTTTTACTAGAATTTGAGTTCTGCATCCCACTTTTCTCCTGCTCGGTCAGGGACTCTCTTTTGTGTTCCTTGTCAGGGCGGTCATTGGTGGTAGCCGGGCACCATCTAGTTCATCTGGTCTCAGGCTGATGGAGTCTCTGGTTGATATGGCCCTTTCTGTCTCTTGGGCTAATATTTTCCTTGAGTCTTTAGTGTTCTTCATTCTTCTCTGCTCCAGGTGAGTTGGGACCAATTGATGCATCTTAGATGGCCGCTCACTAGCTTTTAAGACTCCAGACACCACTCACCAGAGTTGGATGCAGAAGATTTTCTTAATTAACTTTGTTATGCCAATTGACATAGATGTCCCCTGAAACTATGGTCCCCAGACCCCCGCTGCTGCTACTGAGTTCCTCAAAGTGTCTGGATGTATTCAGGAAACATTTTAGCTTTTGGTTTAACCAGTTGTGCTGACTTGCCTGTAGTGTGTGTTGTCCTTCGCTTCACCTAAAATAATTCT